TTCCTGGGGCGCCTGGGTGGCGCAGTCGGTTAAGCGTCCGACTTCAGCCAGGTCACGATCTCGCGGTCCGTGAGTTCGAGCCCCGCGTCGGGCTCTGGGCTGATGGCTCAGAGCCTGGAGCCTGTTTCCGATTCTGTGTCTCCCTCTCTCTCTGCCCCTCCCCCGTTCATGCTCTGTCTCTCTCTGTCCCAAAAATAAATAAACGTTGAAAAAAAAAAAAATTAAAATATCAGTCCTGCCTTCAAGAACTAATATGTCTGTGGCGACAAAAAAAAAAAAAAAAAAAAAAGAGGGTGGGTCAAGGGAGTACTGGAGTAGTTAGAAATTATCTTTGTAGGCTCAAGTTTCCACAAGTTGAAAGGAAGGTTTCTATAGTAGGTGGTAAATTGCATATAAAATACGGGAAAGAAAAAACAGACCTAGGACTACGGACCAAACTTCGTACAGGAGGCTTGCCTATTTTTAAACCCCTTTTCACAATTTGCTAGGCATGGTACAAAACAAAACAAACCAAGCAAACAAAAAAACCCCAGAAATATATGGACTCAAGACAGGGAAAGAGGAAAGATCACTCCCCTAACTAGCTCGGAGGAGCTGATCAAAACCCAAAGCCATTCATAAAATTGTCTATGGCTGATACTATTCATCCTTCCTAAAAGTCCCTCATGCCTGCTGAAATCACTTTCCCAAATGCCTTAGACCCAGGAATCTGACACCCACTGAGCTTGCTTTATCAAACAGTGACTCAATCTGCCTTACCTGAACCAAGGTACTAATCCTGAAGCTCTAAACTGAAAAATACTCTTTATGGATTAAAATAAAAACCTCAGCAATTTATCAAAAAGGGGGAAGGGCAGCCAATAGCATCTGGAAGAATGTTACATTTTATTACTTAGCATTGTTTCACTGTTAATAGTTATTGTACATAACACTATTACTGAAGGTCATTTCACCTAGTGGCTGCAAAATGGCCTGAAATTTTAGCAGCACCCATTTTATACAAAATTTCTTTTTCCACAGAATTGATTAGATACATCAGAAAAATCATTTCAGCTAAAAATGTTGATGTGGTAGAAATACCCTTTTACAAAGTGCAACATTAGGATAGTACTCGAGAAGGCAAGATTCTTTAAGTCCCAGGATTTAACGAACTGACTGATGAGCTCCAGAGCTGAAAGGAATGATATTTTCAAGATTCTAACCTTTTAAATATGGCACTACGGATGAACCAGTACTCAGCACTGCACAGCTCTGCACAGAACGAAGGATGCTGGGAAGACAGTGTGACTGGTGGTGGGAAGGGGGAAGGAGGACCAGTTCTAATAGTCCTCAAACTCCACTCCAGCTGTTCCTGTTCCACACCGTCCGCCAAGCTGGCCCAGTCTCCTTCATCCAGTGTGTCACCAAAGGCAGTTTCAAGGCTCGATGGCAAGAGACCACCGATAACCTCTTCACCTTCTGTTGCCTCTTTCTGCTGCCATGGACTGCCATGACCGTCTGCTATACCTGCACCGTCTTCAGTGGGTCCAGTTCCCGATGAGGAAGGGGGACCACGATGAGACTCCAATCCCCGGGCCCTAATCCATACCTTAAAACTATGGCCTCTAGCCTTACTTACTGATCTGATAGCTGTTACCAAAAGTAACTTCATAACCATATCTCTAGCACCTGATGCTGCAAGTATTTGCCAAATGCCTTCAACTCTAACAACCTTCTAGCTATCCTCTGGGGTTGAGTTAGCTGGGTACGGAGTAAGGAGAAAGATGATCAGTATTCTCCTTTAGTCTTGGATACCATCAAGTCTTCAAGAAGACTTAGTAGCTTCATGTAACACAGCACCTCAATCAAAACCTTTTCTCCAGCATGTCTGTCATAATCCTTGGGGTGGGGGGACAGGAGGGAAGCATATAGTCCCAGTTTGGGAAGGGAAGAGGGTTTACAGCATTACCTATTTGCCATGTTTTCTTCCTTGTATTGGGAGAGCTCCAGCTCACGATCTCTGCCACTCATCCATTCACCCTACACTCAACTCAGAAGCTGAGGGGTTCTGAAATTGCATATATTTTCTAAATTCCCAACCCCTGCCGGTGAATTTGCCCTCTGCTGCTCCTTAGACAATTGTTCCCATGTTCGTCTGCGGGCCCTGGGACTGGCCCTAGTTGTCTTGCTGACGTTTGTCCTCTGTTGGGACACCTTATTACCTGCTAGAACTGTGGTACTGGTTCTCCCCCATCATGCTAACTGAAGTCCCTCCCAGCCTCAGCCACATCCTTTTCCTTTTTGGCCTCTTCAGTGTTCCTCTGGATCCTCTCCTCTATGGAGCCTTTACCCTTGGCTGCTGAAGGCACCAAGAACACAGTAGAGACTCCTCCAGGGAAAAAGGCTCTGAGAGAATGCCCCAACAGGAGATTCAAGCCCTTAGACAGCTGGAAGTACACACAAATGTGGCAGCAAGGACAGAAGAAACAAAAGAGACATTCCTGTAACATCCATCTGCCCAGGACAGAGTATACAGAAACAGAACAATTATTCTTTAATATCACAAGAACACCTCACTTCTGCCCGTGCTCTCTTAGCTTCCAAGAAAAAGAAATACCGAGCAGTGTTCTCTACTTTGACCCTAGCTGAAACTTGAAGACTAGATCTAATGTAAAAAATCACACAGAATCGAGTCCCTAGAAGTATCTCCACAGTGACCCATACTGCCTTACCGTAAATAGTTCTTCAGAGCTTGCAATGTTAGAACAGAAAAGTAATTTTAAATGTACAAAACAAAAATGGGACATTTATTCATAACTCAAAAAAAACCCACAACCCACTAAGCAAGTAGAGTGAGAGTTAAATATAAACACGGGGATTTCCACCCCAACCCTACTTCTCCAAGGCTGTATGGTCACAAGGAATCTCTGGAGAGAACATCTGGACAAGAGAGGACCAGTCAGCGCCGCCTCCGGTCTGGACTCCTGCTGCGTCTTCGGCCACCTCTAGGGAAAAGGAAGAGTCCATCAGAGGAACATAATTCTATGTCCTTATTCTGTTTTGCTCATGTTCCCTTCACCAAGATAGTTTGCCCTCTCCACTTTACCTCCTCTTGCCCTTGGGTGGACCCCGAACAAAACACCAGTCCACACTGATCGGCTGTCCCATCAGATCCTGGCCATTGAGTCCCTCCATAGCAGCCTGGGCCTCCTTATATGTTTCATACTCAACTAGAGTATACCCCTAGGACAAGTGAAAAAACAGAGATCAAAACCTTCATATTCCACCAAATACCACTATTTTATTCCTCAAATCTAGGCTCATACTCAAATAGAAAAATACGTAAACTTTAAACAATGAATGTACACCATATAACTGTACTGTACAAAATGTCTGTTTCTATCTGTCTCTTTTCTGTGTCTAACAAAATCAATTGCCAACCTCATTTTATTTCTTGGCCAATCACAATGGACAACTACCAATGCTGTCAAAGGTTATGGGGGAAGAGAACAATAGATTGTTATTTAGGATACCTTCAGGTATCCTGTACGCCGGTCCAAGTTGAGGTGGATGTTTTTTATTTCTCCATACTCTGCAAATTTGTCATGGATGTCTTCTTCAGTGGCTTCCTCGTGTACTCCAGTGACAAACAGAATCCAGCCTTCAACAGCTGTTGGGGAAGGGAGGGAGAATGAGCACACCAGAGAAAAACTTCAAACAAGTTCACAACAGTGGAGTGAGTGCGGGTTTCAGAGATTGGTTAAGCTATCTCTGACTCCATTCCTACTTGGTTTTATTTCACTGGTCCATAATTCACTACAAACACAGAGCCCTACTGGCTACATTTCACTTACAGCGCTGTGGTCCGGGTTCATCACCATCCTGCTCCACGCTGTCATAATCCTCACGCATCCGCGCTCGAGACCCTTCTTCTATAAAGAACATACAGGAGATCACCGGAAATCTCTTCTCCCACTGTTCCCCATGAGTCCGAATAGGGACCCCGAAACTCGTAGCTGTCGCCACTCTAAACCCATTTTCCCGGCACAACACCCACCGGAGCCAAAGCCGCGGCCCTTCCGTTTCTTCGCCTTTTCTTTCAGTTTGTGGATGCTCTCTGGAGCCCCAGAAGTGAAAGAATGAATGACAAAGATAACAGTTACTTATAACAATAGTCTGTCTCCGAAAACATCATCTGAAGGCAGTCCCACCACCTCCAGTCCCATTCCCTTCCCGGTCCCTCCCCCATTCCTCCCGAAGGGGGCGCAGTCTCTAATCCAACCGAAACCTGGTTCCCCGACTCCCATCCTCCCTGCCGGGCAGGAATTGTTTTCCTATTACATCCTTCTCTCGCACCTTCCCCGCTTCCCGCAGCAGCCTCCACTGTCCTCACCGTCCCCATCCTCATCCATGGCGAAATCCTCGCCCCCGGCCTCATGAAGATCCAGCACGTCCGCCATCTTGCCTCCCTTCTTACTCTCGTCCGTGCCGCTCAGGCACTAGGCACCTCGGGAAACTGTCGCGGAGGGGAAAGGTCGCTAGTCAAGTTGACCAATCAAAAGCTAAGTCTAAGTCCCGCCCCCGGCGCAGCGAAAATACGCAATGGAGGCGGGCCTTGTTCGGGAAGATGCCGGAAGTGTTCCTGTAGCCATCTTGAGCAAGTGGTCAGCTGAACAGAGTGGCACTGTAAGGGACAAGGTAACAGGTGGCTGCAGGCAGTGCCCTATTAAGTAGGGCAGCCGAGGAGAAATACTACTGCCAGCGAAGCACAGCCGAATTTCTTTATTAGAGGATTGTGTACCGTCTCCTTGGACTCCGTACCAAATAGAAGTTTGAAGAACGTTTTTTTCTCTCAAAACTTCTAGACCTGTATCCTGCTCTGAAGAGCAGCTGGATCTGTGATGGAAACATTTTAAAAATAGTTCAGTCCATAATGCTGGGAACTGAAGCTGTTTCTGGCTCGTACTGCAGCACCGAATTTCTCTTAACACTAACAGACCTGGTTGTCCGGGAACTAGCATTGGTGACACGGGTGTCAACTTTCTAAAAATTTTTTTGTTGTTATAATTTTTTTAAGATAAACTCTCAAACTCTTCCCACCACCTCTGGGGATTAAAAAACAAAACAAAATCATGGCTTTAAACAAAATGGGGGCTTTAACCTCTTTGGGAATGGTGCGTGTATTTCATGTTTAAAAACCTAGGCGTTGAAAAAACAAACAAACCTAGGAGTTGAGGCAAAACCCATATTGCCCCCAAATTCTGGAATCCTGATGTAAACCTTTAACAATAGTGGACTGCAGATTCATTTATTTATTAATTTTGTAATCAAGCCGTTATGTGACTTTAATATTAGAGAAAGTGTGGGCAATACAAGGCAAAATAATCTCATTATCAACAATCACTTTATAACTACATTATGAAAGTGATAATTGCTACGACAAAGTGTAATGGCAGTACAAAGAAAGTTTCTAATAGGACTGGGAGTAAGAAGGGCTTCCATTTGAACTGGGCCTTTAAGGCTGGGTAGTTTTCCAGGCCACGCAGCTGTACTGAGAATAGGAGACACTAATCCATTCTCCACAGTAGGTAGTGTGATCCTTAAAAAAATCAGCTGGTCATATCCCTAACAAAACCCTTCCTTGACTTTTTCACTTGGGAATAAAATTTGAACTGCCTACTCGGCCTATTTACAACGACCTCCATTACCATTCTGCCTTCTTCTTAAGCCCTCCCTACGTTTTCCCTCAATTGTGCTGTCTCTTTCCCACCTCAGGACTTTTGCAACTTTCTGTTCCTGATGCTCTTATTCCAGCTCTTCACATGGCTCATTCAACTTCATCCTTTAGGTCTCCCTAAAACACTACTTTCTCTACTTTCCTGTCCTTCACTCTTGTTTATGTCCTTCACAGAACTAGCTTACTACCTTGTTCACTTTCTGACTCGTTTATTGTCTGAATTCCCATTAGAGTGTAATCCTTATGGCAGAGACCCTTAATTACAACGATATCCCCAAAGTTTAGACCAGTGTCTAGCTCACAGTAGACATTTGATACATGCTTATTGAATGAACAAATATCAGAATGGCAAGAAATTGTTTGCCTGATGCTGTGTGGCTAGGAAATAAAGCTAGAAGTACAGGTTAGGGCCAAAATGTATGCCATGCTAAGGATATTGAAATTTTATCCCATAGGCCAGAATTTCTGTACTTCAAGTATTTGAGTGTTCATGATTTTTCACAACTGTAAATAGCCCCCATGCTGTTTCTTGATTAGTGTTTCTCCTTATGTAGACTGACTTTTTAATTAAACAAATTTGCACAAAATTTAAATATCACTGCCATAAATGTAAAATCTGTATTTTTTTCTACTACAGTTTCAGATTAAAATATCAAATAAGTAAAAATGAAAAATGTTTGCCCCTCTACCACCTAAAATCATCTCAGGTAATACCAAGGGTTCCCATATAAAACTTCGGGGAATGCTGTTAAGGACAAGGATAGCTAAGTGATGGTTTAAGCAAGGTAGTGGTGCACTCCTAAGTATTTTAGAAAGAAATCTGACAGTAGTTGAGAGGATGTTAAGAATGAAGGCAGGGGCTGGTAAGGAAGCTATTGCAGTGGTCCAGCCCAGAGATGATAAAGGACTGAACTAAGGCAGTGGATATGGACAAGACAGATTAGGAAGTTTATATAGGAGGTAAACTCAACAGCAAGTGACTGATTAGATCATGGTAAAGAATGGACCTAAGGTTCTAATTTAAGTAACTGGGTAGATAATAATCCTAATAACAGATTTGGGGAGTCAAAGAAGAGCATGTATGAAATGGCTTTTATTTTGAATATGTGACTTCAGAGAGCTTGTGTCATAAATTCAGGTGGTGAGGGGCACCTGGGTGGCTCAGTCGGTTGAGCGACCGACTTCAGCTCAGGTCATGATCTCACTGCTTGTGAGTTCAAGCTCCACATGCAGCTCTGTGCTGACAGCTCGGAGCCTGGAGCCTGCTTCGGATTCTGTGTCTCCCTCTCTCTCTGCCCCTCCCCTGCTTGCTCTCTCTCTCTCTTTCAAAAATAAATAAACATGTAAAAATTTTAAAAAATAAGATAAATTCAGTTGGTGATGTCATGGAAATATAGATGTAAAAGCTCAAAAGGGTGAAAGAGATTGAGAATGGTGTATAAGATAGAGTTGAAGTCACCATGGTGAGTGAGTTCGCTAGTGGAAATGGGTAGAGCTTGAAAAGAAAGGGTCAGTGACAAAATCCAGGTTCCTCAAATGTCTGAAGGGGAAGCAGAATGCCTTCCCCCAATAGTGCAATCTTATTTCTGCCACCCAAAAAACACTAATCAAAATTATCTTTTAGTCTGTTTATAAAAGAAAGGGTCGTTTTAGAGCTCCTCTGATACATATGTCTTAAGAAAGAGTCAATCTGGCTCACTAGGCAAAAATCTATTTTTAATTGTATAAAATTATACATAGAAAATACATAGAAAGTAGTAAAAAGATAAGTAAAATCTTTAACAATGAAAGTGGACAGATCAGGGAACAATTTTTCTCCAGTTCTTTGGGATCTTAACTGGTTGTTACTTGAGAAAAATAATCCAGGAGGTGCAAAGGAGAAGTTCTTCCCACAACTCACACCCCTTCGCACTTCTCAGAGAAAGGAGCATAGGAGAAATGAGGGTTTATGATGTCTGGATTATAAATATCAATAAAAACTGGGTAGACATACCTGTTATTTAACATGGGAGCCTCTACTCCTACCCTACATGTGCTTCGTGGTATACAGAGATGGGACTTGGAGAATTCCAGGAGGTCCCTTTCAAGCACTAAAACAGTTGCTAGATTCCTTACCACTGATCCCATATGTACTGATCACCAAGATGATTTCAAAAGCAAAAAAGCTGATTTTCATCTTATCCCTGTCTGATCCAAAAGAGCAAATTGTGGCCTATTTCCTAACCTATTTCTAAAAACAAAGTGTATAATCATAGAATGGAAAGCCCAATTTTGCAGAAACAGGAAACGTCCCAAGCACATTTTAGAAAGTGCACCGAACTATAATATAGTGTAAAGGAGTTTATAGAAACAAAGGGAAAACACATCTTTAAGAGACCTATAAAAAATTCTCCCAAAGAGGAATGCTTTAGCTGTACTCCAGATATTTCTCCCCTATTTCACCCAGGAGAGAGATTGGGGGTGGGAGGCGGAGAGTCTTAAAAACACAGTTGATCATGTCGTCTCTTTTCCCTCCTGCAGTCTCCCCAGGGTTCCAGTTAGGAAGTGCCATAATGCCAGTTGCAACTAATTTTCTTGATCAACTCCTGCTCTAATAACCAACGTGGAAGAAGAGGAAAGAAAAGAGAGAAAACAACTGTGAATCTATGGACATCAAAGGTAGCAAACAGCAGCAACTTTGTGGGAGAGAGAGGAACACGGCCCTCACCAAAGAGGACAAATAATGTTTCCAAAGAGCAACATGAAGGGAAGAGACAGAGTTGGGAAATATGTTTTCCCTCCTACCCATTTCTGCAGACAGGAAGGTTTAAACACAGGGCTCAGTGAAGCTGGGTGAGCAGAGAGGAGTGAAGAGGGAATATTGGAAGAGGCTTCAATGCTGATCCCTTCTGGAGCAAGAACACACCCGGGAAGCTAGTATGGTATCTATGCCCCAGAAGCAACTTAGGTGATAAACACCTAGTTTTGTGTTTATAATTCCTCTCTTCTTCCTGGGAAGTTTCTCAGGAATAATTTGAACAATGAGAAAGCAGCTGTCTACTTCCTTCCAAATTAATAAAGGAAGTCTTAAAATGAAGTACCGCTTGGAGGCAGAGGAGGAGTAAGGGAGTGGCGGGAAGCGGCTGGTGGGGAGTCTAGGCAAGGAAATGTCTAGTCACTGGAGGAACAGCTCAGTACTAAGTAGGCCCAACTCAAGATAAACTCAAGCCAAAGCCTTCATACTCGTACCCTATTTGGAGTCCAAGAGAAAGCAGGAATGAGGTTGAGGGTGAGGGTGGGGCACACAGACCTTATTCAAACTGCCTGTTAGATTATAAGAACACTTTGTCAATCATTTTGTGCTATTGAAATGACTACACAGAGCTGGGAGTATAAGCACCAACAAAGCTCTGAAGACAGCCTGCTCTTTTTACAAAGTGGAATGGGGATGTTTCAAAGGAAACTACATCCAAAAACTAGAAGAAAAGGGATCTCTCAGCAAATTGGGATCTGAGTGTAGAATTTATACATATACATATATATATCTATATTTTAAAGTATAAAATTGAGAAAGTATGTACAGAAATCATACTAAGTCTTAGAAAAGACATTATCAAAAAGAGCCTGGAGAGGATGGGGAGTATGTGCATGGACGCCTAGCAGTTGGAGGAATGCATATTGCCCAACTGCCCAGCGGCCAGCAGGAGAATATCTTTCTTCTCCTTGTGGAAGCGCAGCTCCTTGCCTGCCAGCCGAGCTTCGTCCAGCTCCCGCTCAGTAGAGGCCAGCTCTCTAGACAGTGCCCCTGGCACACTCTGCTCCCGGCTCACCCAGTCCAATGCCATTTGATGGCGAATATCATCATCCAGGGCCCGG